GTTGACGACTACTCGCGCTACACCACGGTCTTCCCCTTGCGCGCCAAGGGTGACGTCCCTGGTGTTTTGATCCCCTGGATCAGCCGAGCCCGTCTCCAGCTAGGCGAGCGCTTTCACTCGGACTTTCCTGTCCTGCGCTTGCACTCTGACAGGGGTGGTGAGTTCGCCTCCGACCTCTTGGCAGCCTACTGTGCTGAGCACGGCATTGAGCAGTCGTACACGCTTCCGGCCTCTCCACAGCAGAATGGGGTTGCTGAGCGCCGCATTGGCTTAGTCATGGAGGTCGCTCGTACCTCCCTGACCCATGCGGCTGCTCCCCACTTTCTGTGGCCGTTTGCGGTCCGGTACGCAGCGCATCAGCTCAACCTCTGGCCCCGTGTCTCCTTGCCGGAGACTTCCCCGACTCTACGGTGGACGGGAGAGGTTGGCGATGCGTCGCGTTTCCGGGTCTGGGGATCTCGAGCTTTTGTCCGCGACACGTCCGCGGACAAGCTCTCGCGTCGCACTGTTCCCTGTGTCTTTCTTGGCTTTGTTCCCGACGCGCCTGGATGGCAGTTTTACCACGTCACCTCGCGCCGGGTTCTGGCCTCTCAGGACGTCACTTTTGACGAGTCCGTCCCCTTCTACCGCCTCTTCCCCTACCGCACTGCCCCGCTCCCCCCCCCGCCTCTCTTCCTCGCTCCAGGTGCTGAGGTACCAGACCCCCTCCCCCCTCAGGGTGCCGCTCCCTCAGGTGTGTCCCAGGTAGACCCGGATGAGCCTGTCGAGGTAGCTGTTGACTCGCGTCCTGCGTCTGGGGGTGCTGAGCCTGGGAGTGCTGCGTTTGAGGGTGCGGAGCCTGGGGGTGCTGAGCCTGGAGGTGCGGAGCCTGGGGGTGCTGAGCCTGGAGGTGCGGAGCCTGGAGGTGCGGAGCCTGGAGGTACTGAGCCTGGAGGTGTGGAGCCTGGGGGTGCTGAGCCTGGAGGTGCGGAGCCTGGAGGTGCGGAGCCTGGAGGTGCTGAGTCTGGACGTGCTGAGTCTGGGGGTGCTGAGTCTGGGGGTGCTGAGCCTGAGCGTGCTCCACCTGGAGGAGCCCCCTCCTCCCAGCAGCTGCAGGAGAGGTACCTCGAGTACTGCCGCCTCCGGAGAGGTGCTTCTGGAGCTCGTCCCGGTACTTCCCCTCCTTCCCAGGAGCTCCCCCCCATTCAGGTGATCCGCGAGTGGTACACGCGGCGCTGCAGTCTTCGTAGTGGTGCTCCTGGTACTGCGGACCCGAGCGGTGGTGCTGTTGCTGGTGCTGAGGACCCGGACGCTGGAGCTGCTGCTGGTGCTGAGGACCCGGGGGCTGGAGCTGCTGCTGGTGCTGAGGACCCGGGCGTTGGAGCTGCTACTGGTGCTGAGGACCCGACCGGTGGCGCTGCTGCTGGTGCTGAGGACCTGACCAGTGGCCCTGCTGCTGGTGCTGAGGACCCGGGCGTTGGAGCTGCTGCTGGTGCTGAGGACCCGACCGGTGGTGCTGCTGCTGGTGCTGAGGACTCGGGCGTTGGAGCTGCTGCTGGTGCTGAGGACTCGGGCGTTGGGGCTGCCACTGGTGTCCCTGCTGCTTCTGGAGACGCTGCGCGGCCGCGACCGTACTTCGTACCGCTCCTTCAGCAGGTTCTTGGTCAGGCTCCTCCTCCTTGTCCTCCTCCCTCCGTCGAGTGTCCTCTGCCTGTCCAGCCGCAGTCACAGTTACCGCCTGTCTCGCCTCTCCCTGCTCCCTCCCCTTACGCTGGTCCCACAGGAGGTCTTACAGAGCGTCGTGAGCCTGAGTCTCGTCCTGCGTCGCCTGTTCGTACTGCTCGCACTGGTCGTCGTGTCCCACGTGAGCGTCCTCCTCCTGTCCCTGGCACTCACTACATGACTCTGCGTCCCTCCACTGCTCCGCAGCGTGTCCCGCTGCCGTCTCCTCCTGCGTCCTCTCTTCCTACTCTTCCTGACCCGGAGTCTGACTCCCGTCGTGCTGCCAGTCCCACTGTTACGCGTCTCCTCGCTACAGTTGTCACTGACCCGACCTTTGAGTCCTCTGCTGCGTCTGCCCTGGTCGCTGAGTTGGTTGACTTTGCTGCTCGCTGTCGCCTAGACTACGCTGCCAGCCTTGTCGCTAGGTCTGAGTCTGCGTCTGCCTGTCCTCCGTCCGTCGGGGGTGAGTGTGCCCTCGGCACGGACGTCCTTGAGGACAGACAGGAGGAGTTCCACTGCCTTGCTGCTGCTTTGCCCCGTCTCGTGTCCTTGCTAGTTGCCCCTGAGGGAGACCCGGATGCACCAGACATCCCGACCCCACGCTCTTATGCTGAGGCGATGGCGGGTCCCTACTCCTCTCAGTGGCAGACAGCCATGGACGCAGAGATGGCCTCCTGGAAGTCCACAGGCACCTACGTAGACGAGGTTCCCCCTCCTGGGGCGAACATCGTCAGTGGCATGTGGATTTTCAGGGTGAAGCGGCCTCCGGGTTCTCCACCTGTCTTCAAGGCGCGCTACGTGGCTCGAGGCTTCAGTCAGCGAGAGGGAGTAGACTTCTTTCAGACCTTCTCCCCCACCCCGAAGATGACTACTCTTCGGGTGCTGCTGCACATAGCCGCTCACCGCGACTACGAGCTTCACTCTCTTGACTTCAGCACTGCTTTCTTGCAGGGCAGCCTGCACGAGGAGATCTGGCTGCGCCGCCCCCCTGGCTTCACTGGGTCATTTCCTCCTGGCACCCAGTGGAGGCTTCAGCGGCCGGTCTACGGTCTCCGCCAGGCGCCACGTGAGTGGCACGACACACTGAGGACGACACTTGCGGCTCTTGGGTTCGCTCCCTCTACTGCTGACCCGTCGCTGTTTCTACGCACCGACACCTCGCTGCCGCCGTTCTACATCCTCGTGTACGTCGACGACTTGGTCTTTGCCACTGCTGACACCGCGGCACTCGCTCACGTGAAGTCGGAGCTGCAGAGGAGACACACGTGCACAGACCTGGGTGAGCTGACGAGCTATCTTGGCTTGCGGATCACCCGGGACAGAGCACGGCGCACCATCACCCTGACTCAGTCACACATGGTGCAGCAGGTTCTCCAGCGCTTCCGCTTCACGTACTCCTCGCCTCAGTCCACTCCTCTGCCTACCGGTCACTCGCTCTCAGCTCTGCCTTCGGATGAGTCCGTAGAGCCGAGTGGCCCGTATCCAGAGCTTGTGGGCTGCCTCATGTACCTGATGACCTGCACTCGACCTGACCTTGCATACCCTCTTAGCATCCTAGCACGCTATGTCGCTCCTGGCCGTCACCGGAAGGAGCACATGGATGCTGCTAAGAGGGTGTTGCGCTACTTGTGCAGTACGTCGGGCATGGGGCTTGTGCTTGGAGGGCGAGACCGGGTTGTTCTCACAGGGCACTCAGACGCTTCTTGGGCAGACGACCAGGCTACTCAGCGGTCGTCCCAGGGTTACACCTTCAGCCTTGGCTCTGGCTCAGTTTCTTGGCGTTCTACTCGCTCTTCTTCTGTTCTCAGCTCCAGTTGTGAGGCTGAGATCTACGCCACAGCCATGGCTGCTCAGGAGCTACGCTGGCTGACCTACCTGCTGACCGACCTCGGAGAGCGGCCTCGTTCTCCTCCAGTGCTGTACGTCGACAACAAGGCTGCCATTGCCTTGTGTGAGGAGCACAGACTGGAGCACAGAACGAAGCACATCGCTCTGCGGTACTTCCTTGCTCGAGAGCTGCAGCAGCGTGGTCAGCTTTGTCTGCGTTACGTGGCCACGGAGGCCAACACTGCTGATGTGTTCACCAAGGCGCTTCAGCCTTGTGACCATCAGCGCTTTTGCACTCTACTAGGCCTTGTACCTACTGGGCCTCACTTGCTTACCTCTTGACCTTACTTGTACTGTGATCACTATATATATATGCCTTCTTGCTTACTTTTGCTAGGTTGTGATCACTGTATCTCTTACTTTGTTATAAACCTGCATGTGAACTGGTCTTGTGACCGCTTGCTTGTGCTCGGAATTTGTGTGGAATCCTTGAGATCCACCCTGAGCTTGCTTTGCTTTGCTTTGACTGGTCTTGTGACCCTGTGGTTGTTTCCCACTGCGCCTATGGGGGTGTGTCAAACATTGCATGTTTATATTGTCTAGGCTGTAGTGGGTTACACCTTAGGGGGTACACAAAGTTAGGGTTTCCTACTTGTACCAAACTCTGTTCTAGTTCATTCATTCCTGCTCAGTTATTTCTGACAAGCACACCACGATACGCGCCGTCGCCGCGAATGCCGCTGCAGCACCGTTCAAAGGGCATTGCTTCACGTGCAATCGGTCGGGGCACCGTAAGAGCGGATGCCCGGAAAATGCAAAGGGAAAGGAGTGAGCCGAGATGCAGAAACAGACCAAGCAGCAGGGAAACGCTGGGAGTCAGTAGCAGACGGGCCCGCTACTGACAGGTCACACCGCTCGCCCGGCCCAACTGACCTGTACCAAGTGATTGTGCCGGTTCACGCAATCGACCCCACCCGGCCGAACAAGGAGGGTTCAACGGTAGATAGTCCCATACTATTTACTGGGAAAATCCGCACCGACTTGACGTAGGGGCTAGCTAGTGTAGAATTCCACTACTATAGAAGTTTGATAGAGCTCAAAAGCACGATTCCAACGCACCAAAGATTGCAGGAAACGGTCCACTATAGCCAGAGATACACACAAAAATAGTAGTGATAATGACTTGATTGATTAATGGTTTGTACCCTCTGGTTTTAAACTAGGACGCAATACAAACACAAAGCAGACAAAAAAGTGTCAATCCGGGTCGAGCGCTGAATTTTGTCGATGTGAAATTCCGAGCCTTGAATTTCGCCGAGCGAATTCCATTGACCGGAATCTCCTAGACGAGAATTTCCGCGACCAGAATTCCGTCGACCACCGATTGTAACACTCGTGCGAATTCCGTTGACTTAGACACTTCGCTGCTGTTCGCCAAACTGTCCCCAAACTGTCCCTGAATTGTCCCCAATCTATACTGAAAGGACACTTTCGGGACACTTGAATCGAAAGGTCTCCAGTCGAAACTTACGTGCGTCATAACCAGGGCCTTAGTAGAAACTGCCCTGAATCTGTCCTGGGACACTTTCAGGACAAATTGAAGGTCAAGAGTTCGAATCCCAGCGCCGACATTTTGTTGCTCATGGCAGCATTTCCTTTTTAACACCCCCCCTTGCTGTCAAGAGCACGCTGGACCAGCCCGGCTGCTGCACAGCATCGGTTGAAGGCTGCCTTGTCGAGCCGCTTCGTGAAGAAGTCCGCGGGCTGCGCCGTTATAGGGATGTGCTGCAACTCCAACTTCTTCATGCGCACCATGTCCTGCAGCCACATGTGGCGACGGTCCACATGCTTCATGTGCCCTTGCAGCCTGCCCGCGTGACTGAGCTGCACCGCTGACATGTTGTCGACGTACAGGGTGGTGGGAACACCCTTCTTGAGCAGCTGAATCTTCCACAGCAGGAACCATAGCTTGCGCCCCTCCTTTCCGGCTTCCACCACAGCCACAACCTCGCTCTCGATGGAGGAAAGTTTGGTCGCACCCTGCAGCTTCATGGCCTGCGTGGAAACGGCAGCTCTGCCAAGCTGGAAGAGGTAAATTCTCGTGGACGAACGGTTCTCCTTGTCGCCCGCATCATCCACATCTGAATACCCCATGAGAGTCAAGCTCTCCAGTCCTCCCTTGAACAGCAGCCCAATGTTCGGTGAGGCAGCCCAGTAGGAGAGGGTGCGGAAGAGTTCATGCCCATGCACATCCGTCTTCAGATGCGCACCTGCTGCAAGGCGATCAGTCATGGTGCGTTTGGCAAACAGCTCAGCATCCTGCATGACAAAGCTGGTAGAGGAGAGTGGGGTGATGGGCTGCTTCTTCAGTGTCGCCCCCTTGAAGAACTGCTGCTGCACCTCCGACACATATGCGTTCTGATGCAGGAGGAGTATCTTGTTGGGGCGGTCGCGCACAATCTGCTGGCCAATGTAGCATTCCGTGGATGACAGGTATCCCACCACGAGGAGACCTTTGTCCACCTCCTTGCCTTCAGGTCCGATCAAGGGTACTCCGAGGTTGATGATGATGCTCCCCTCATCAGCCTCATCCAAGTACTCCATATCGTAGTAGATGTCCGTGTCATAGACACATTTAGCAAGAAATGCCATGTCGTTCATGTTGTTGCCATCATCCGCATCCGAGGCCGTGGGAGCTGATGTGGGAAACCATACAGGTGGCATACCCTTTATGAACCTGCTAGAATGGCATGGGGGTGGAGGAGAGGGCTGGAGGGGCGAAACTGTGGGTATGGGGTTATAAGATTTTTCCCATGGGCTGTTGCAGATTTCAGGTCCGTTGCCTCTCCTTCCTCGTCTTCATTAGCTGCACTACGTTTATCCATAGAAGGACCAACCTCTGGTCCCACGGGTGGCAAGCCAGCAGCTAAAGATGGACAGGGAGGTGGCGGAGCCATGGTTGCCTTGCTACCCACAGGGTCAACCGAACGATCAAACGGTTGCTCGCCCCCTTGCACGAACAGCACCGGGACCATGATGACGGTACGTGATGGCGGCTGATTCTGCTCAGGGCCATGGATCCCAAGAACCTCTCCCTCTCGCTCGTCAGGCAGCGGAAGTGTTTGACGAGTGAGTTTGGGTTCTTGGGAGGAGGAGCTCGACGTGCATATCCTCACCTCCTTTCTCCAGGTCCATGCCTAGTATGCCACCGTTTGTGGCTGTCCACCTTACCGCACCAAAATGGTCATTCTCAAGGTGAGTGTGCCGTTGGTTGAGCATCGTCTTGGTCCCCACCGCATATGTTGTGAGGCTGACCGCTTCGTCATTCTCTTCCGACTCGCTTGACGCCACCTCAGCAACCGCCTTAGTCATGCCGTTGTATGTCACTGCAGCCACCGTGCCATTGCATGCCGCTCCAGCTGCCATGCTGTTGCAAGTCGCTCCAGCCGCTGTGCCATTGCAAGCCGTTGCAGCCACTGTGTCGTTGCATGCTGGTGCAGCTACCATGCAGTTGCTTGTCACTGCAGCCCTCGTTCCGTTGCATGCTGCTGCAGCTACCATGCCGTTGCATGTCGCTGCAGCCGCTATGCCGTCGCATGCCGACGCAGCCACCGTGCCGTCGCATGCAACTGCAGACGTCGTGCCATTACATGCTGCTCCAATTGCCGTGCCGTTGCATGCCACTGCAGCCGTTGCGGCGTTGCATGCCGCTGCAGCCAACGTGCTGTTGCATGCCGCTCCAGCCGCTGTGCCGTTGCATGCCACTGCAGCCGCCGTGCCGTTGCATGCCGCTACAGCCACCATGCCATTGCATGCTGCTGAAGCCGCTGTGCCGTTGCATGCCGCTTGAGCCACGGTGCCATTGCATGCCACCACAGCCGTTGTGCTGTTGCTTGCTGGCCACGGTTTCAGTTCTTTGCAGAGAAGACGATGGCAATAGCGTGCCGTTGCAGCCACTTGTCCTCCCGATGCGATGATGCGAGTGACATCTTCTTGGGTTTGCAGGTTTTCTCCCTTGTCCATGAGCTGCCCAGAGGAGGAGACGAAGTTGGCCTTCAATCCTGGCACAAAGAGGACATAATGCAGGGTCACACGCAAGCTATTAGTGCTCTCCAGCAAAACCTTTACCAACACCTGCGACTTCTTGCATAGAACCATCAAACCCTTTGACCGATTTCGTTGCAGGTGAGTCACGGATCACCGTGAACCACTCCTTGCGGCTGGTCATGTGTTTGGAGCATTCCGAGTCAAAGAACCACAAGTCCTTGTTGTCGGCCAGCAGCTTGGCAACCGAACACGCGACGGTGAGTACCACGCCATTCTCGTCTCCTTCAGCTACGTTCGCGGCTGCCGTGGGCGTTGCATCCTTCTTCTTGTTGGGGAACTTGGCACCCATGTGCCCCTCCTCATTGCAGATGTAGCATCGCCCCTTGAAAGGAGCTCGCTTCTTCTCCCGCTTGCCAACCTTCTTCTTGTTCTTTTGCTCCCTTCCTTCCGGTTGACCCCCGTTGTAGCCAAAATCGTGTTGACAGCGCCCGAGAAAGCAGATACATCGCTGGTGATCTGCTTGTAGCTCTGTTCGATGGAGAGAGTCTGCTCCTCCATCAAGACCTCGCTACACACGTGTTCCACAGTCATCCCAGGGTTTGAAATGTCGAGCTTGCGGCAAAGGAATCCGTATTCCGGTGGCAGGCCCTTCAGCACGTGAGCGGCAAACGTGGCCATGTGGACCTCCTGTGAAGTGGTCAGCAACTCCGCTCAAATGGCGCGGCCCCTGTCGTAGTAGGATTCCGTTGTCTCATCATCTCCCTTCCTGAGTTGGGCTAGTTGGGTCTGAAGTAGGGAGGCGTGGAGGGCATCACGAGCTCGATAGGTAAACAAGATATATGTCCATTCCATCTGCCCGGCTTTCTCTTGCTGAGAAAAACCAGAGATGGGTGGAGAAACACACTGCGGTTCAGCACCATTAATGCAAGCATTTGGCCCTTCGCATAACCCTTCGTCGCATGGGGTTGTTTCGGGCTGGGCTTGGTGCTGTCCCACGCGGTGAGGTCGTGCCTTCCCTCCCGCATCGGCGTTACACAGATGTGCTCGAATCCAAACTTGAATTGGTCGTAGCTCGTGCCGATCATTCCCGTGTCAATGATTGGTGCAACAGCCCCTCCATCGATGCCCACGGCACCAGGAGCCTCGTGCTCAGCTCCTCCCCCACCGGCTCCCCCTTGCTGGCCGCCCGCAGGTGATTGCTCCGATGCGCGCTCCCGAACCATGCGTAGTAGACTAGCGTCCATAAGTTAAGGTGGTGCTCATGGACGGACGCCTCCAGCTCCTGACAAACATTTAGGCCCTCGGCGCAAGTTAACCACTCCATCCGCGATCAAAATGCGTGTTGGCCACACCAACATAGGGACGAAGTGACGGGAAGACGGAATCAAGCTACTAGTTGGATCGACACAGATAACACAGCTCTGATACCATGTAGAATTCCACTACTATAGTGGCTTGATAGAGCTTGAAAGCACGATTCCAACGCACCAAAGATTGCAGGAAACGGTCCACTATAGCCAGAGATACACACAAACATAGTAGTGATAATGACTTGTTTGATTTCTGGTTTGTACTCTTTAGTTTTATACTAGGACGCAATACAAAAACAAAGCACACAAGAAAGTGTCGACCCGGGTCGCGCGCTGAATTTCGTCGACGCGAAATTCCGAGCCTTGAATTTTGCTGAGCGAGTTCCATTGACTGGAATTCCATAGACAATAATTTCCGCGACCAGAATTTCGTCGACCACCGACCGTAAGGGCGTGTTTGCTATTTTTCTTAACGTTCGAACTTTTGTTGGTAACAAGTTTCCGCGAATCTCACTAGAAAACTTCGGCAATTCCCCGTCTCGTTGGTGTCCACTCCGTAATACACTTCGAATTCGGTTTCTTCATTCTCGCTAGTTCGATTGAGTGAAACCTGCACAATTTCGAACATTCCGCTATGCGATTCTGTCACATATACGCGAACTTGTACGACCGAGCCGACATGTCGCGTCGCTTGGCGGGAATGTCATATACATCAGCCACGTCAACCTGCCGGGTCGTATTTAGTCGTATTTATCCCTGCGACTCTGACTGTGTTTCGCACGCGGTTCGCAAAATTCGAATGCAAAGTGTGTCACATTTGATCACCATTTCAAGTTCGTTTCGTTTTGTATCATACGCACCATTCTGAAATTTCTAAATAATTGGTGTTCGGATACTATAGGCGACAAAATTCGATTCCAGAATTCGACTTCTTGCACATGACGTCAAAACGAGCACGCCCTAACTCCCGTGCGAATTCCGCGCGACCCGAGATCGATTTCGCCGAACTGTCCCCAAACTATCCCCGAACTGTCCCCAATGTGTCCTGAAAGGACACTTTTGAGACACTTGAATCGAAAGGTCTCCAGTTCAAAACTCTCGTACGCCATAACCAGAAACTGTCCTGAATCTGTCTTGGGACACTTTCAAGACAGATTGAAGGTCACGAGTTCGAATCCCAGCACCAACATTTTGTTGCTCGTGGCAGCATTTCCTTCTAACAGCCACAGCCTGATCAACACCGCCACTGCACGGAGACTGAAACTGACATTGGACAGATGTTTGCCTGAAATAGACGCGAGACTGGTCGACGGCAAGCCACTGGCAATACAGGAACACGTAGACCAAGTTCGGATTCGTTGAAAGGGTAACCTCACATTCACCCAGGAAATGCTAGCGACGACCCTTGACAGGACCGATATTTTACTCGGCCGTGATTGGCTGCGACGACATAATCCGCGAATCGACCTTCGAGGGGATTACCACCAGATCCGGGTCAATCCGCCCGTCTGCCCGAAAATCGCCTTCCGCACCCGCTACGGATCTTTCGAATACACCGTAATGCCCTTCAGACTGACCAACGCCTCCGCCACCTTCCGAAAAGATTATGAACAAAGCCTTCAGCCCGTTTTTAGATAAGTGTGTAATCGTCTGCTTAGACGATAACTTAATGTACACCCCCGACAGAGCACAGCATCTGCGAGACATCGAAGCAGTTTTCAAAATACTGAGTGAGAACCATTTATTGACAAAAGCCTCCGAGTGTGAGTTTTTATCGAACCGACTGAAGTTTTTAGGGCACATCATTTCAGCCGACGGATTGGAAATAGACGTGAAGAAGATCTCAATGATTCAAGCATGGCACGTGCCAACAAACTTGACTGAGCTGTAGAGTGTTTTGGAGCTCATCAATTACGTTCGACTATTCGTCTCCGACATGGCACAGTTGACTGCTCCGTTGACCGACCTGCTGAACAAGGGGGTTGAGTACACGTGGGGGGAGAAAGAGCAAGCTGCCTTCTCGGCCCTCAAGAAAATTTTGTGCTTGCCGCCCGTACTGCACATTGCCGACCCTCACCGCCCGTTCGAACTGGTCACCGACGCAAGTGACATCGCTGTGGGAGCAGTACTGTTGCAGGACTTCAGGAATGGTCTTCAACCAATTGCGTATGAGTCCCGTAAGCTTCACCCGCCCGAACCAATTACCCGATACACGACCGCGAGATGCTGGCGATCGTGCATGCATTCAAAGTGTGGCGATGTTACCTCAGAGGAGCCAACGTCATAGTACGGACATATCACCGTTTACTACAGTACCTTCGCGACCAGCCAAATCTCAACCCGCGACAGATATGGTGGTTGGACTATTTGGAGTCCAACTTCCACCACACGGTCACATACAAAAAAAGAGCATCAAACATCGCCGACGCTCTCATCCGCCCCACCGCCCAACTCCACGCCATCCTACTCGCCCAAACTAACATATTGTTAAAAGGCCTATTCACTCACGGATATCGCATCGACCCATTTTTCACCACCGGGAACTCGGAGCAGCTGACAGAAGCAAAGGGAGTTATTACACAAAGACCGGCACCAACCGCATCTGGGTACTAGCATGTTCACTGCTACGGGAGTTATTCCTGCAGGAGGCACACAACGAGGTTACCTCGGGTCACTTTGGGGTAGAAATTGCGCGACAGCAATAGTAGCGGTATTACTACTGTCCGGAGCTGTTAACTAACGTGCAACACTACGTGGGATCGTGCCCGAAAGAAGGAGGCAGGTCAATTGCAGCTGATCCCACCGCCCGAGCGTGCATAGCAGCAGGTTACTATGGATTTTGTCACGGGGTTACCTTCGAGCCCCGAGGGTAACAACACAGTTATGGCTGTTATTGATCGACTGACAAAAATGGCCCACTTCGCTGCGTGCAGGAAATCGATCTCATCCAAAGAATCCGCTCGCCTGTTCATCGCGACTTTCGTTCGACTGCACAGGATACCACCAGCGATAATCAGCGACCGCAACATGAAATTCACCAGCAACTCCTGGAAGAACCTATGGCAGCAGTTCGGAACCCGGCTACAATTCAGTTCGTCGTACCACCCCGAGACCGACGGCCAGACGGAGCGGACAAACTAGACCATGTAGCAGCAGTTGATTCGTGCCACGTGCGACGACCCGACAACATGGGAGCAGCAGTTGCCGCTGGTTGAGTTTGCCTACGACAACGCCACGTCAGCAACGACACTGCAGTCCCCGTTCTACCTGAACTACGAACAAAATTCTACAGTGCCCATGACGCCGAGTCCAAACAACCCAACACCACGCGCACAACAATTCGTCAAGATTCTGCAAGCTGCCCATACGCGCACACCAGACGCAATTATAAAGGCAAATATCATTGCTTAAAGGAACGTTGACTGCCACCGCCGCCCAGTGACGTACCAGTCAAGAGATTGCGTGCTGCTCAACACACAGAACTTACGCCTGCCCATCGTACCATAATTTCGACCGCGCTACTGTGGACCGTTCCAAATCAGCCACATGATCACCCCAGTTTCCGCCCATCTCCTGCTACCGACAGATTGCTACATCAGCCCGTCGTTCTACGTCAGTCTACTCCGCCCATACGTCGCCATCACAAGCCAACTGCCACGCCATGGCCCGCCATCAATGACGCGTCCTGCATCGAAGCCGATTTTTGACCTTGAAAAAAAAAAATTGAGCTATCGTACTCGCCACCTCATGGGAATTCATACGATTGAGTTCCTCGTTCGCTGGAAGGACCGCACCCCCGCGAAGGACAGCTGGGTGCCCCTGGCCAACAATGAAAACCACCCTGCCTTGCAAGTACCTGCGAAGTCGGGGTTTTCGTGATATACATGCACCCGTGTAGCGGAGGGGGCTTCTTGGGGGGGGGATTGTAAGGAATATTTCGACATTCCTTACCGAGTGCGTCAACACCGCATATAGAAGCAGCTGTTGTTCACCCGTTAGTGCTGACGGGGCTTCGCCAACCTTCGCGTGCACTATTCACCAAGCCATGCACTGCTGACCCGGTCGTGTCGGCCTACACTTCGGGACTAGCCCGAACCTCGATGCCAGCATCGCACTAGCTAGCTCGCACGCACTGCGTAACCATTTGCATATCTTCTTATCAGTATTCGCTCATGCCTTCGCTCACGCTTTATACTCGTTTGACACCCTAGTGCAATACTCACTATCTCATTCCATTAAACCCGTAACGGTATTTCTATTTTAACCAATGTATGCTTTTGCTATACTTACTTTAATCATTTTATATTCACTTTAATTTGAGGTCAACTTCTGCTGGAATGACCCTGTGCGAACAACCTAAGGTAATCCTAGCACGATCAACCGCCTGATCGCAACATGGTACGAGAGAGACTCTGGAATTCTTCGCACTACCATTCCCAAAAATCTCGGCGATCGAAGGTGGCGTTCCGCTCACACGTGAAGATGGCCGGAGGATCAAGAGGTCAGACGATTCTGACGACTGAAGCCCAGCCTAATCTGGTTGCGAACTCCGAAGCGATGACGACGATCATCTCCTTCGCACTTGAACAATTGCTTCAGCCCCGAAAACCCTTGAGCAAGGGCTCTAGACATTGCAAAATGGCAATACGGGAACCACCTTCCAACCCTCTCAACCGGCCGCGACTGGCCACAATGACGCCAAGCAAACCTTCTCTCTTGACACAAATGCATCAACACCCAAGGTCCCACGCCCAAGCGATGACACATCAATCAAGGTTCCCGAATATTTCAAAAATCAAACAGCAAAGACTTCTATACCTGGAACTTCGCGCTTGAGCTGGTGCAGCAGAACGCACAAATCTACCATTATTTTGACGGCAGCTACGAGGAGCACTTGGCCGACACTGACGATGCCAAAGCGCAGTACGACAACG